TGTTTGAAAGAGTTGAATATCAGCTATTATCAACCTTGCCTTTGAATAGTGCATTCAACCATGACTGAGGCAAAATAGGGCTTTCGTTTCCCACTGTCACATTTGGGTTGAAGGGGTACCATTAAGTAGTGTTAACGTTAAGGTTTGGGACCAAATTGTTAGCATTTTTTTCTTTGTCATCTTTGGATAACATTTAAAATAGCACTGCTATGGGTAGGTATTCTTATTTAGTATATCTTGTCAACTTTTTGAGGGATCTCCGGCTCTCTGGCCCTGGAAGGGGCCAGTAGACGAAACCAAACTTTTTTTACATTGCATTGTGAGATGAAGTTAAAAAAAGACTACTACCTCCCTTACCTTTGAAGTGTAAAAACAACAAAGTTCAGGTTAGCTAACTGGCCCCTTCCTTTCCAATGGACCCTTCAAAAATAGGCAAGTGGTTCTCTCTAAGGTCCTTAACCTTTCACTAGTGTTACTTTGTTCTAGTAGCCAAAGATGCTTTCAAAATGAATGCTTGAAATACGTCCCCCACCCATGGCACCACTTGGTGGTACCAATACAACCCCATTCTGATAGCGGGAAATGATAGTCCTAGGGGCCCTCTACCTTGCCCCAGTAATGATTTGAAGCACACTTCAAAGATAAGGGGTATAATAGCTGACCTTTATCCGTATATTAAAACAAAGTGAAAAACAACCAAGTTCAGGTTAGCTAACTGGCCCCTTCCTTTACCAGGGACCCTTCAAAAACCAAGTGAGTGGTTCTCCTTAAGGTCTTTAACCTTTCACTTGTTTTACTTTGTTCTAGTAGCCAAAGATGCTTTCAAAATGAATGCTTGAAATACGTCCCCCGCCCATGGCACCACTTGGTGGTACCACTACAACCCCATTCTGATAGCGGGAAATGATAGTCCTAGGGGCCCTCTACCTTGCCCCAGTAATGATTTGAAGCACACTTCAAAGATAAGGGGTATAATAGCTGACCTTTAACCAGTACATTAAAACACAAAGAGAAAAACAACAAAGTGCAGCTTAGCTTACTGACCCTTTTTCTTTCCCGGGACCCTTCAAAAACAGGCAAGTAGTTCTCTCTAAGGTCCTTAACCTTTCACTAGTGTTACTTTGTTCTAGTAGCCAAAGATGCTTTCAAAATGAATGCTTGAAATACGTCCCCCACCCATGGCACCACTTGGTGGTACCAATACAACCCCATTCTGATAGCGGGAAATGATAGTCCTAGGGGCCCTCTACCTTGCCCCAGTAATGATTTGAAGCACACTTCAAAGATAAGGGGTATAATAGCTGACCTTTAACCAGTATATTAAAACACAAAGAGAAAAACAACAAAGTTCAGGTTAGCTAACTGGCCCCTTCCTTTCCCAGGGACCCTTCAAAAACAGGCAAGTGGTTCTCTCTAAGGTCCTTAACCTTTCACTAGTGTTACTTTGTTCTAGTAGCCAAAGATGCTTTCAAAATGAATGCTTGAAATACGTCCCCCACCCATGGCAACACTTGGTGGTACCACTACAGCCCCATTCTGATAGCGAGAAATGATAGTCCTAGGAGCCCTCTACCTTGCCCCAGTAATGATTTGAAGCACACTTCAAAGATAAGGGGAATAACATCTGACTTTTAATCCATATATCAATATACAGAGTGAAATACAACAAAGTTCAGGTTACCTAACTGGCCTTTTCTAGTCATTGAAACCTGTCAAAAAGTTGACAAGGATACTCCCTAAGGCCCTTAACTTTTTTCCAGTTTAGTGTTAGTTTGTTCTAGTGGTCAATGATGGTTGAAAAATGAAAGTTTGAAATATGTTCCCAACTTGGTGGTGCCACTACAGCCTCATACCGATTGCGGGAAATGATATTTCTAGAAATCTATCTTGCCACAGTAATGATTTAAAGCACACCACACTTATAAGATAAGAGGTATGATAGCTGCTTGAAATATGTAACCCACCCTTGGCACCACTTGGTGGTACCACTTCAGCCTAATTTTCATGGCTGTATATAATAGTCCTGTGGACCCTTTACTTTGTGCCAGTAATTGTTCGAAGCACATTTCAAGGATAATAAGTTAAAATAGATTAAATTACCTTCAAACCCTTATCAATGTAAATATTAGGAGTAAGCAAATTTCAGGTTAGCCTTTTGGCACCATCATGTTCCTGAGACCCGTAAAAGAGCTTAAAAGGGACTCTCCCGGAAGTACTTAACTTATTTCCAATGTTGGTTTGTTCTTAAGCGGTCAAAGATGGTGACATTTTCTCTCTTTTTTTTGTTTGTTTGTTTGTTTGTTTTGAAACCGCATAATTTTCCTTATGCAGGTGAGCTTAACTGCCTCCAAGTGTTTGAATTATTAAATAATTAAGTGTTGCATTACTTATCTAATTATTAATTATAAATTGTCGAAAATGAGGCATTAAACAGTATTGCGTCAGAGTACTCTCAGTCCTTTGATGAATTTCCTTATTGGCTGCTAGCTTCTACGGGCTTATTGGCTGCTGTTATTGGCTGCTAGCTTCAGTCTAGTGTTTTAGCATCCCAAAAGAGATGAGGACATCTGATTTTCTGGAAGAGTACAATGTGACAGTGAAAGATACACGGCATTTTGCTAGCTTGGGTTAGTGGGTTAACCCCTCAGCTAGATCGATAGAGCAATGACCATGCCAAAGGTTCCGGGTTCAAATCCATTCGGAGGCACAAAAACGTCTCTGTTACATTTGGATCTCTCATTGATCTTTCAATGAACTCAAAATGAATGTAGAGATGTCTGAGATCATCGCAGAGGGACCATGATTATTGGAGACTGCATCGAAGATCTTATGAATATCAACGTCTGTTTTAGAGATCATTGAGAGATCTTGGAGACTATTGTGAGATCCGGGAGTGTTCCTCGGCAATGTTCTCTATTTTTTTTCACGAGCACATTATGAAATCCCTAAACATTTACATAAAAACAGATTTCTAAGATTTCGTAGATTACCAAGAGATCGGACACGTTTTAAGGTCAGTCCACACGATCCTCGAAGATTTATATATATATATATATATATATATATATATATATATATATATATATATATATATATATATATATATATATATCTTCGTAATATACCAAAAACATTTTTTAATACATGTACAATGTAATAATTAATATCTTATAATTTCTAAAATGTTTTCAAAATGTCTGAAAAATATGTATGCACGAGAAATTCGTAATATCAACAGATTTCCTTATAGAATTATATAGGAAATACCACTGATCCTCTGGAATCTTATACAAATGCTTGGTAATGTACCCCAATTTTTGGAAACTTCTTAAAATAGCAATATTTCAATAACAAATTCTTGGGAAAAGATATACTTTTGAGGAAAGTATCGTTTGACCTTAGTTGCCCATTTGTCTCCAAACAATCTCCGTTTGTATAAAAGGTCTTTCTAAGAGACACAGGCCACATCGCTCACCTGAGCACATTGGCTAGGCAAAAGCACAAATCAGTTCAGTATTGGGGGGGGGGGGGGGGGGTTGAATTTTAAACTATACCTGATGATTGATGATGCTTCCATGTCAATATAACAAATGGCTTTGTTGTACTTGAGAAAAATAAAAACAAAATTTCCCATATATATTCGTTTGTAAAAATTTGATCCCCCATTGAAGCTCCTCTCTATCCCAAGGGTCATCATTTGAATAAACTTTAATCTACACTACCTGAGGATGCTTCCATATCAAAATAACTAAACATGATTTTCAGTTCTTAAGAAGAAGATATTTTCCTATATGTTCCTATGTTAAATTTTCGATTCCCCATTGTGGCCCCACCCTATCCCCGGGGGTCATCATTTTAACAAACTTGAATCTACACTACCTGAGGATGCTTCCATATCAAAATGACTAATCATGGCTTTGCTGTTCTTAAGAAGAAAATTTTTAAGGATTTTTCCTATATATTTCTATGTAAAACTTTGATCCTCCATTGTGACCCTGCCCTACCCCCGGGGGTCATAATTTGAGCAAATTTGAATCTACACTACCTGAGGATGCTTCCACATGAGTTTCATCTTTCCTGGCCCTGTGGTTCTTGAGAAGAAGATTTTTAAAAGATGCTATTTTTCACTAATTCTTTATTATCTCCCCCTGAAAGAGGGCGTGGCCCTTCATTTGAACAAACTTGAATCCCCTTCACCCAAGGATACTTTGTGGCAAGTTTGGTTGAAATTGGCTAGTGGTTCTTGAGAAGAAGTCGAAAATGTTAAAAGTTTACAGACGGACAGACAGACTGAGCCTTCGGCTCAGGTGAGCTAAAAACACCTCCATGCAAACGCTCTACCAATGCAACTGCCATGACTTGTTTAAAATCAAAGTACTGAAAGTGAGAGCAGGCCACGCGTGTTATGTGTGAAATGTGATACCACATGACATAGAGACAGAAATACATTTTCTATTTTGATAGTCTTAATTAATATATCTATATAATTTAAAAAAAAATTACACATTTCTTCTAGTGTTAATATACATCCAAGAATGGTTATCTCATTAGACAATACAGCAATACCAGGGCTAGAAGTAATAATTTTTTTTCACTGGTCACTTGGGCTATCACCTTAAATTTTTACTTTCACTGTCCCATGCACAGGACCAGTAGAATTTAAAAAGACTGACCCCAGACCGTAATGTTAATAGTAATATTTTGTTTATACTTTGTTACTTAATAGTACAACTTAAACATGAAATGACAGAACTTGGATGCACAACCCTGTAGCGTTAACTAGCCTGACCATGAATAGATTTTGTTTATGCATAAAAAAATGACCTGAAGGGCACATGACCTCTACAATGTACTAGCTCAGATCAAAAATTCACTGGCCCCCGACCAGTGGGCCATCAATTATTTTGAGCTCAGTATACACTTAGATGTTGTACATGTAGATGCTCTAAATACTAAACAAACATTCCCTTTTCTGGAAGAACAAAATTATTTCTTTAAGATGTAGTTCAACTTTTTATTTTTATGGTCATAATAGAAACCACCATTCTTTGAAATATTTTTTTGGGACTTCATTTCTTCATTAATGCCAGCATATCAAATCAAAGCAGTTCAATTTTTATTTTTATAAAGTTTTATCTCTAACTCATCATTTTCAAAAAACAATTTCTCATTCCTTATATACATGTATAAACTGGTGATAAAGTTACACTGAATGTCAGTAATTCTATAAACACAGATTTATAACAAAATCCTTATATACAATAAAAATCCTCCTATCATTCACTAAATATGACACAATCAGTGGTGTCTCACTTAATGTGAGGTGATTGCTTAATCAATGGAGTATCAGAGTTCTCTTAATTTAAAAATGACAACACGGGCACATTAAACATCAATCATTCCAAATCTTCACATTCACTAATCAACTCTCAGTCTTACAATACTACATACTTTCTGTCACATGGTCACTCTTCAACACAGAACAAACACACCCTCTGAGAGATGCTCACAGATAATCAATGAAGTTCCTTAACTCCATATAATCTCCTACAAAGTTTCTCCTCCATATCCTGCTAATGTTGTAAATTTTCATAAAAAGGCCAATCTTTTCATGAAAACTTTTCATGCCCTGTTTCTGAACACATTGTCTTTGAAGTTTTTTGTTTTCTTTAATGAAGCCAGATTGTTGAATTTCTCTATATCAGATCTCCCTCCTGTTTCTCACGGACAGCCTCCTATTGAAATAAAAAAAAAACAAACAAACATTATCTCAGAAACAAAAGTCAGATTGACATCAGTTATGCACAGTGCCAATCTACCTTAAATCTCTCCTCTAAGAGAGAAAACTCTGAGATGAGATCGGTTATGATCAGTAACAATCTACAGAGCTCCAGATAAGGTGCGTATTTGAAGAAATACGCATTGAATTTTACAAAATACGCATTGAAAATTAAAACTCGATGTACAGTTACGCATTAGTAATCGTAAATAAGCATTACACTCCGAAAGTACTGCGTACGATGGATTGAATAATACAAGTACAACTTAGCTAATGATATGGATTGAGGTTAGCTCAGTGTTTGTTTTTTTTTCAAAATGAAATAATAATTTAAAAGCGTTTTAATAACCAGGAAAATGCTAGTTATGGCGACGACTATTTCCAGTTCGGGAGAAAGAATTCAATGATTTAGATTAAAATCGATTTCTCGTAGTCTCGTAGAAAGATTACGCACTAGGCATAGTTACTTTTAAGCACACAAAAGCTTGTGTCGTCTATGTGAGACGACATTGTTCTGTAACAAATGTAATACATAAGTAATAGAAAACAATGTTACCTAGAAAACAATGGATAGTTGGAGGAAAAGAAAGAGTCCTAGCCGGAGAAAAAAAGTTTATACTGCAATATATCAAAGTGTACATATTGTGTAAAAAAGCAGTGAAGACCATATTCAAACCATATCGAAAAAAAACGAGCTCTGTTTTTAATTCAAGACCAATTAAATAAACTGCTGTACAGAGACATTACGCATAATATGTATTTGTATTTAACGAGTTTTCCTAGATTCTCTAGAGTTCTCTATAGTTCTCTGTTTAGTAGGACGGTTACACACGGTTTGTACATAATATTTTTTAAGATGGGTTCATTGACAATTTCTGATTTCTCTCGTTCTTTTTTTTCTCGGTTTACTCTTCCTACGATATCATCTTAATTAGAGAAAAAATTATATGTGCCTATGGTTACTTTACCTACTGTATGATCTTCCATGTCAAAGAAAAAATGTTTCTCAGGTTATCAAAAATCTTGTTGGCATTCTTAAAAAAATATTTAAATAAATACAGGAACTGTCCTTTGTAGTTTTTTTCTTTCCTTTTTAAAAATACTTTTATTTGGATAACAAGCTCAAAATTACAATAGATGTCAAAACATTAATATATTTAAAAAAAACCTATTAAATCATTGTGCTGAATATCAAAATCTGCATTGATTTGAAAATCAGGGAGTCAATACACTTTGGGCTGAAAAAGTATCTGGAGCTCTGAATCTACCTTAAATCTCTCCTCTAACAGACAGAACTCATCAATGGGATCCATTACAATCAGTAACATTCTATCTTAAATCTCTCCTCTAACAGAGAAAACTTGGATTTGAGATCATTTATGATCTGTGACAATCTACCTTAAATCTCTCCTCTAACAGAGAGAACTCTGAGATGAGATCGGTTATGGCGTGGGTGATAGCCTCCTGTGGACTGTAGTCAGCCGTGGTCTGTACCCTCAGGACAAACTTGTGCTCCAAGGGATGTGGATTTTTGTAGCCAGCAAACAAAACCTGTGGATCCTTCCTAAGCTGTCTGCAAACACAGATGTTTTTTTTTCATGTTTACTTTAATTTCATTAAAAGTATCAATTCTTTAAATCAATTGCAAATGGCAAGTGAAGGAAAAATACGTACCAGTACTTCTAAAGTTAAAAGCAATTTGTCATATGAGCATCTGCAATCTGACTAAAAGCAGATTTTTGATTCACTCCAAAATTTTTCAGTTGTCATTTTGTGCTCATATAGAGTGTATCAGTATCTTTTGAACACTTAAGTGAAGTATCTTTGCTTGCTTTATGCTCCCATTGAAGACATATCAAAGATTAATCAAGCTTTTGAGGGAAAGTATCCTTTTTGGAGAAATTAGGAATCTTCTTTGTGCAATATGATGTTTCATACTACATTAATTCGCTCATTCTTAAACAAATTTGATGTTAAATAGTCAAAATTGCATATTTAACCTGCGTGGTATCAATTACAGCTTTTTTTACTTGGTAAAACTAAAAGACAAAAAGGTTTTTTTCAAGGGGAATTTCCTCTCTGGTGAAATTACCTTAAATCGGTACATGTAGTACAAATACCTAAGATTTACCCCTGCATATAAACCTTGCTCAGAAAATTTTCCATTAAATATTTACAAATGAAAACAGATATTAAGAAACAATCTAAAAACATGACTTTGGTGCCTAATTTTGTGTTTAATATGGATAATCTGTGTAAATAAACAGGCCTTGATATCCTTTTTAAGAATAATTTATTACAAAATACATGTATGTGATTTCTCTGATGAATATTTGTATACACACTCATTCTCATTTTGATATTTTAATTAGTGTCTTTTGTTAAAAACTTGCTTCTCTTTACATTTCTCTCTGGAAATACAACTGACATACGACGTCATGACATCAAAGTCAAGACAGAGTGCACCCGACCTTAAACCATTTAATGTACCATTGATCATGAAGATCTAGGATCTATGCATGAAGTACATACATAGAGGTATTTAATGTTATCTACTTTAATAAATACAACTGTGCTCGAGTTAATAGTCTTTCCATTACACATATTACTGTACTGTCCACATTTCCTGATGGCGAGCACAGCCAGCGGCGCAAAGCGCCCCTTGTCACTGTGAGCTCTTAAAGCAATGATTGAGCAAAGAGAAAATTCGGACTTTGCACATTGATCCAAATGATTTTTTCTGCAGTTAAATTGAGACCCACAATACAACTCAAATGCTGCTAACAAAAGTTCACCAGAAAATAAACTCACCTTGATTTAATGGATATTGCAGATAAATATAGTAGATTAAATGTTCTTTGTTAAAATTTGCATTTTTTAGTCTTTATTATAAATGGTAATGCAACTAACATATGACTCATGTGACATTACAGGCTAGACGTTCCAAATGCCTTGTGCGGTTTGAAGAAGCTGTGATCATGTTCCGTATTGACAGTAAATTGATACTTACGCTGTGATCATGTTCCGTATTGACAGCAAATTGATACTAACGCTGTGATCATGTTCTCTATTGACAGTTAATTGATACTTACGCTGTGATCATGTTCTCTATTGACAGTAAATTGATACTTACACTGTGATCATGTTCTCTATCAAGAGTAAATTGATACTTACGCTGTGATCATGTTCTTATTGACAGTAAATTGACACTTATGCTGTGATCATGTTCTCTATTGACCGTAAATTGATACTTACGCTGTGATCATATGATGTTCTCTATCGACAGTAAATTGATACTTACGCTGTAATCATGTTCTGTATTAACAGTAAATTGTTACTTACGCTGTGATCATGTTCCCTAACGTGTGATCCTCCTTATTGACAGTAAATATGGCGGCATTGGGAACTTTGGTATCCTTCTCAATTGTTATTCTACAAATGATCGACTACTGATTAATAAACTTTTCAAAAGGGGGCATTAAATCATGTAAAGTAGTTACAAGTCCTTTAAGTCATCATAACCCCTTACTCTGTCCAGATTATTTTAAATATCACTTTGATTACTGAAATAGTTCATATATAACCATCATCTGACATCATCATGACAATATTTCAGCAATGGTTAATTTTGCCACAAACATTTTTGTTAATTTTAACAGATACAATATTTCGTATTCAGTTTTAGTTGTCATTCATAGTGGTATTAAAAGAACGAAATAACAAAATAATGTATTGTCAAAAAAGTACCCACTTTTTTTCTCCATCAAATAAAAGAAACGATTCAAATGTTGGTGGTGCATTCATCTTCGATTCTATCTCTTTCTGGAGTACTCGGTTTCCTCAATATTCGCTTATCTTTATTAGATAATGTTTGGAAAATGAGAAATATGGAATTAATTTTTAGAAAATTACATTAATTTTCTATTACATTATTTATGATTTAAGAATTTTATGTTTCATCGTAAATGAAGCGGACAATTAAATATTCTTATATATTTTGACAGTGCATCAGTCCTCTTAATCAAGTAACCCTTAAAACCGGATACGAAACGCATGTCGCACTTAGAAAATTCGTGCTAAGAAGCATTTTCTTATCTTCTTGGATTTGGCATTGTTTAATGCTGACATTTACCAGAAATATTGTTGAATATACTTTTAATCGTAATCCATTTTTTTATCTGATTCATATTTATGAAATTAATTTTCAGACGAATCATTTTATGTAAAATTTGTCATTCCACATTTAATTGTTTTTTGCAAGACCTGTTCCCACAGTTTTGTTAGGAAAATGGTAAGGGGAGAGTGATGTACAAGAGTCAGCATGTATTATTTGCAGGTGATATATGTTTTTTACGACTCAGAATTTATCACATTTTGAAGGTTTATAACATTTATGTGAGCTTTAATTGATTAATCATACTTTTCAACTCATTCTCGTATCTTATCAGATCATTTACATGTAATATAACTGCTAAATATTTTATGCAACCAATTCCAAGTACTAGAAGTGAACCGTTGTTTACTCTTAAGCTCCAGATGAGGGTAGATTTTACTTTACTGGTTCCCAGGTTCGCAAGATCTGTGCGCTTGCTGCACTATGACGTAACATTTACTTTACTCAACTGATAAGGGTTAGTCTTGCACACCACTTGACTAGTTAGGGTTAGTCTTGCATCCACCTGAGAGATTAGGGTTAGTCTTTGCACAAGTACAGTGGAGTCTCCAATTCCGGGTCGTCTCCAATTCTGTGTCACTCGTGTGTATTTTATGCCATATTGTTAAAATTAAAGTGCAAAAATCTTAATAAATACACTGGTCATGAAGAATTGGTCTTTCTGTCTGTAATCAATAGCAAAATTTTGAAAATCAACTTTAAGAGAGCATCCGACAAACGAAATTATGAAACGCGTGCATTGAAGATAGGGATGTTTGTGCTTCGTTGACAGGCTACTTTCGTTTTTGTTCGCTGCAGCATGGCTGATATAAGAGTTCTAGATAAACAATAGTAGCTCGAAAGTATGGCACATGCATTCAGTTATAACTCAGAAATCAATCATAATGATCACTGCTCAAATAAAATTACACTGCTTAATAATTAATAGCAGTTTCTCCAATTGCGGTTCACATAATCTCATTTAATGGAACATGTCAAAACTCAATGTACAAAACCTTGTGGCAACTATGTATTTACCTTGAGATTTGAAGGAATTCTACCTGGAAAATATGTCTTAAAAAATAAAATAGAGTTTACCTTGCAAATACATTTTTTTTAACTTAAATTGTATAATTTTAAAATATTTTTTTTATTCTGAATCTTCATTGTTATCCGAGGCTGTATTTAAGGTCCAGAAAAATCATTTTTTCGTAATATTTCTGTAATATGTGAGAGATTTCAGCTAATACCACTGGACAACCGGTTCCAAGTCCCTCCAATACACATCCTCACGCCACGCCTGTCGCTCAAAATGAGTTTGTGAAGAGTTGGTGGATGTTATAGTAATTAAATCCTTGTAAATTACACATTTTACAAAATAAAAGATTTTTAATACTGAACTCTCTGAAATTAAAAAAAAAAATACTGAACATTCCAGAGGACACTGAGATTAAACGATATTCTCAGTCCTTTTTTTCATATTGATTCTAACAGATGTATGATGTATAGTCATTTTTTTATTATTGATTTATTTAACTACATATTGCAATAGTTTTTTTTCTCTCTTTTTTTTTTGTTTGTTAATAATTAAAACTGTTATTTTCTGTGATTGTTTATTTTTTTTCTGAGCTACATGAATTCTTTTGTGCTTCCACATCATAAAAATCGTGTTCCGAAACGATCCCTTCATATTACAAGTCCATGAAATCACATGACCCGGAAATGGGGAAAATGATTCGAAAGTGGGGAAACTAGGCCTTGTTGAAATACGGCTGTAAATATTGTTCCAACTTACCTACTTTAATAATAAAAAGACTCTTGTATGACTCACTATTTGTACTTTCAATACATTTGTTGCATAAAATATAAATCGAACAACTTTGCAAAATATTAACGAAACAGCCTGACGTGACCCGTAATTGGCGACTTCACTGTATTTGACTGATTAGGGTTAGTCTTGCATCCATCCAAGAGATTAGGGTTAGTCCTCGCACATCAGTTGACTGTTTAGGGTTAGTCTAGCATATGCCCGGGAGATTTGGGTTAGTCCTTGCATACCATCCTAGAGAGAGCTAGTGACTCATTCTTTTAGATAAATTAAGAAATTCAGTTGCTTCTTTATTTTTTGCAAGATCTTATTCCAGCTTCAACAGCATCTTGTTGGTTTGTTTACATGAAAAAAAAAAAGGCTAAGTATGAAAGAAATGACACTAAGCATGCGCCGCACACGCTTCGTTGATAATATTATTTTTTGTCAATTTTTCAATGAAAAAACTATTTTTCATTTTTTTTTCAGAGAAGAGGTTTAAAAACAAGGTTTTAAGCTTAACTTTTAACCTCAGAATTCGATTTTGTGGTCAAAGAGGCCAAAAACCTCGTACTTTTTATTTTTTTTTGATCGCTCACGTGATCTCATATATATTGAAGTAGCTTATATATTTTAGCGTGTTTTTCTGGGGACCTTTAAAGTAAAGTCGTTCCCCAGATGAGACAAGGGAGGGGTGTGTAAATATTGAATTGCATTCAATGCCCTACTTTGAGCCACAGCATTGCATGCAAAAGTACCTCAAATTGTTTTTTAGATGTTCCCTTATAACATGAATACAAATTCAAGGTGCCCAAAAATCAATTTACAAGCATCCAAAAGTATAAGTACTTGCTTAGCTCAGCAAATCATTTCTGTACTTCATGACCACCCCTGGAGACACACTTGATAACAGAAGTAACGTTTGTAAACATGGTAAATACATGGCATGGCATTAAATAACTAGGTAGCAGATGCCAGTGAAGGCAATATCTCAGTGAACAAAGGCTTACTGCTGAATGAAAAACAGTTTTATTTGCAGGAAAAATGACCAAAATAAAATTGTATTTCGCATAGACCATGTCTGAGTAATATTCAGCAGTGACAGATTGAAGGGGTTCACCCAGCGCCCCCTCGTCAAATTCAAAAATAAAAAAAATTAATTATGGTTTAATTTTCAAAAAAGAAATGACATACGGGATATAAATAAAAGGCTTTATTGCTATATTCTTGCAAGACAGGAGCTTCAGTGGGAATTGTTTTCACAGAATTTGAACACTAAAAAAAACTAGCTTTATTAATTCTAATCATTAATCAGGCTTTGTATTAAACATTCACTCACTGATTCATGCACTGATACATATTGGTGGGAGATATTCAACTATGTCATGATTTTCTGACCTTGACCTTCCCTGTGACCTTGACGTCAATAATATTTATTCTGTCTGTAGCTCAATTTGACAGTAACTATTCAAGATAATTTAACTCAAGTTCATATACTGATACATATTGGTAGGAGCTATTGAACTGCACCAAAATGTTTTGACCCTGACCTTCCTTGTGACCTTGATCTCACTAATCCTTATTTTGCATAAGCACAATTTCATTTTAACTATTTCAAGTTATTTTTATCAATCTCGTATATTGATACATATTGGTGTGGGGTAATACATCTCACTCAAATCTTGACCGAGTTCATAAGCTTCAAAAACGTGCTGCAAGGTATATTTTAGATGCTCCCCCTGATGCGCCCTCACAACCTCTCTTTGAGAAACTTGATTGGTTCACAGTGTATGAGCAACTTACTGTAAATAAATATGTTTTGTTATATAAATCACTGTTTAACTCTAACCTTACTTATTTAAATAGTATGTTTGATTTCCAGTGTAATAATCGATACAATCTTCGATCTGAATCCAACTTAGACCTGTGTGTACCAGCTCATAAATGTAAACTCTTTGAAAATTCCTTCCAATACTCTGGTGCTATGTTGTGGAATGATTTACCTGTATATATAAAAATGTCTCCAACACTCAATGCTTTCAAGCACAAAGTTAAAAAATATGTAAAAGAATGTCGCAATAATTCATAATTATTTATTGTGTGTATTTGTATATATATGTATGTATATTGATTTTTGTCTACAGAAGGCCCCGGGGAAGAATAGTGCTTGCACTAATCGGGTTACCTTCTTTAAATAAAGTATTATTATTATTATTAAGGTCTTCCGACTTCCTTTGGAAGACCTTATTGTTTTCCGTCTGTTTTCTATTATTATTATTATTATTATTCTTTTTTTCATAGTTATGGCGATATCTCAGCTGTGAGTGAGCAGATTTCAGAGATTTTTTCGCGGAAGATGCATCATGTAAATATCTCCAGACGTGTTTTTCATTTTTTCAAAATTCACTTCCGTTCGCGATTTTTGGGGAAATTTGTATTTTTTAAATGGCATTTTGTCCAGAATTTTTCTCGACAACGGCTAAAGATATGAAATTGAAACTCAATGAATAAATAGAACATCAAATTCCAATATGGGGAACGACCTTTATTTTTCGTCGTCGCCACTTCCGGTCGCAAACGGAAGTGAATTCAAAAAGTCCAATTTTTCAACTTTTTTGTTTTTCAATATTTTTCTTTAGGATTTACAGGGTTTATAGAGTGTTTTACAAAAATCCTAAATATGTATTCAATATTTTGATGCGTGCATTTATTGCAAAGATATGACCGATCCAAACTTTGTCCCACTGTCTGGGGTTCGAATCCTGCTGGAGGTAGTTAATTTTTTTTTCTTTGTTTTTCTCTTTTTTTCAGTTGCTAATGACTTCTCTCTCTTTAAAAACATGTATGGTAGTTTTTGCTGATTTTTAA